CCATGTAAACTATCACATAATTCACAATAAAACATTTTTTAAAAAGCATTGGACTGCTCACCAAAGGTCAGCAGTTCAAACCCACTTGCCACTCCTCAGAAACCCTATACACGGTCGCTAAGAATCAGAACCAATTCGATGGCACTTAGCAATAACAACATACTTTAGTTTAAATTCACCCACTCCTCACTTATTTCTATGGGATGGCCACATCAGATCACATAAAGGAAGATGACTACATCAGCCTATCAAATTACATCATCACATAACTGCCAACCACTGAGAATCCTAACCCAGCCAAGTTGACATATAATCTTAATAGCCAGCATGACTCTTGCCTAGCACCTTGGTGTTCTTTACTGCCATACATTACTCTGCCAATGTGCAAAATAGTCTGATAGTAGAGTTTTTACTACTTTTCTTGTCATCAATGCTAACTGTTGGATAATGAGACCGTCAGTAAGTGAGGAGTTGGTACTTAGTGGATAAATCTTTTCATTAGAAAGGCAAAGAGTGAATACTGAAAATGGGTTTATAAATGATACAATGAAATCCGAGGCTTAGCTAGCTAATGTCTGTCAATTTAAGTGAAACGAGAGTGAAACAGACAGTATTACCTTAGCAAGACAAAATAAGATTCCTACAATTGATTTGTAATTAAGTTTACCTGTCATTTAAATATAATTACAATTACAAACAGAGTTTGGTGGTTACCCAAATGGTATATTGTATTACATTTGGAAATGTGTTCCTATTTTTCAGCTTTCATTACTATGAATCTTTTGGGCCAGACCACTAATGTGTGGATAGGGTTACAAAATGATGATTATGAAAAATGGCTCAACGGAAAGCCTGTTGTGTATTCTAACTGGTCTCCATTTGATATATTAAAGGTAAGGTTAAAGATTTATTTCCTATAGAAATGATTTTAGCATGAGCTTCTGTTCAAAACGTGTTTACTAAAGCTTTTATAGACATAAACTTTTATGTCTGTTAACGTATTAATTTTTAATAGTATAATTTCATATGCTCCATAAATGTAATTACTTTACTCATCATGATAATTATTTATTTTGTAGGTTATGAAATGAGTTGTGAACAGACTTAATAAATGCAAATAGATGAACAGTAATTGTGTTTTAATCAGAAAATGATGTCCTAAATAAAAACTTCAAAGACCTATTTTTTTGGTAACATTTATATATTCTTTTTAAGATTCCACATCATAGCACCGTAGAAGTTCAAAAACATATTCCTCTCTGTGCCTTGCTGTCAAGTAATCCTAATTTTCATTTCACTGGAAAATGGTATTTTGAAGACTGTGGAAAAGAAGGTTATGGGTTTGTTTGTGAAAAAATGCAAGGTAAGAACTATATTTTTTTAGTGCTTTCATTTCCATGGCTTGTTTGTCTCTTCCATATTTGTTTTTCACAACTTTATAGCAAACAGTTTTGTAGCTAAGATTGCATGACTCTTATTCTTTGAGCTTTGCATAGATTTAGTTATTTAATCCTCCACTAACCCAGGAGTCCTGGTGTGGTGCTGTAGGATAAGAACTCAACCACAAGGTTGGTTTGAACCAACCACTCCTTGGAAACGCAACACAGGGTAGCTATAAGTCAAAACTAACTCTATGGCACTTAACAACAACAAATCTCAGGATTATGCCAAGAGTTGGGTTCTTGGGACTGTAGAGGCCACTTGGGTGTTGACCAAGGTTATGCATCCATTTTAGTCATGCTAGAGGCTTTCCTGGTGTGGTCCTGTGGGTTAATGCGCTAGACTGCAAAACTGTTTGAACTGCAAGGTCGGCAGTTCAAGTTCACCAGCTGCTCCTCGGAAACGCTATACAGGGTCGCTATGGATCAGAACGGACTCGACGGCACTTCACAACAACAACAGAGGCTTTATTGCTTTGTTCTGAGGTTATATGCTTGTTCAGGTAATAAAAAACATTGAAAGAATGTTGAAAAGAGTTAGGGAAATAAACCAAGTCATGCTTATTTCCTTCTTGGCAATTTAAAAATAAATGTCATCTGTAGCTAACTATGGCATGCATCCACGTTTCTACATCTGATGGCCTAAACCACAAGGGTTTCTGGTGTGAAATACCAAAACCATGCTATTATAGATAGTGTGTCCTTTAGTGAGAATAACAATAACGTCAGCAATAGCTAACGTGTATTTTGTTTTTACTGGTGCTAGACTTCCTGTGGAATCCTCGTGTGGCGCTGTGGGTTAATGCACCAGACTGCAAAGCCGTTTGTACTGCAAGGTTGGTGGTTCAAATTCACCAGCTGCTCCTCGGAGACCCTATACAGGGTCGCTATGGGTCAGAACCAACTCAACAGCACTTCACAACAACAACAACAACAAGGCTTCCTGTGGAGTTCCGATGTGGTGCTGTAGAATAAGCACTGGACTGCAAGGTCGATGGTTCTAAATACTATGCCACCCTAAAAGGCCAAAATTTGTGACTAGAACTGTGAAACTTTGAACAGCCTAACATACAAAGAGGCCTCTAAAAGTTTGTGGGGAAACAGAATTTTAAAATAATGGTATTTTCCCACATTTTGACACCCTCTTACATAGATTCTTACTTAGAATATAAATTAAACTTCTTAAGGCTACATAAATGTGAACTCTTTAATATATTCAGTAACAGTCAACCCGTATACCTTGGTTATCTAGTGCTGCTATCCCAGAAATACCTCGAGTGGATGGCTGTGACAAACAGAAATTTATTCTCTCACAATTTAGGAGGCTAAAAGTCCAAATTCAGAGCATTGGCTCTGAAGAATGGTCCTTGTCTCCTTTCAGCATCTGTAGGCTCAGCTAGCATTTTGCAGATCTCATGTGTCCTGCCATCAGTCTTTCCCTGGAACTAGAAGTTTTCCCTGGATCTAGTGCACGAATCCCCAAAGGACACACTCCACTCCCGTTTCTTCTTTCTTGGTAGTTCTAAGTAGACTCTCTCTTCACTTCTCTCTTCATTTATCTTTTGTAAGCTAAAAGGTGTTGCATCAGATCAGAGTCATACTGGGATTAAGGGTGGTGTGGCATTGTAGTATAAGCACACTGGACTGCTTACTCCAAGTCTGGTGATTCAAATCCACCATCTGATCCTCAAAAACCCTACACAGGGTCATTGTGAGTCAAACCAACTCAATAAGACAACAACGACAACCCCACCTTTAATCCTTTGATTGGCTTATCACATCGTCACATACCTGCCAGACCTCTGAAAATCATGACCCAGCCAACCTGACACATATGAACAGCCCTGGTAGGATAGTGGATTATGAGTTGGACTGCTAACCGCAAGGTCAGCAGTTTGAATCCAACAGCCACTCCATGAGAGGACGATGGGGCTTTCTGCTCCCATAAAGATTTACAGCCTCAGAAACCCTACACAGAGTCACTGTGAGGAAGAACCGACTCTATGGTACACAGACAGCAGTGATAACAATAACAGCAATAATAGCTAACATCTTTTTCACTTTTACTGGGTGTAGGATAAACGCTGGGCTGCTAACTGCAAGGTTGGTGGTTCAAACCCACCAGCCACTCCTAGGAAACCGTATGCTTGATCTATATGAGTTGAAACGTACTCTACAGCACTTAACAACACTTCCTGTACCATGTCACCCAGGAAGGCCATACTTTGTGACTGTGAAACTTTAAGCAGCCTATTATATACAAGCCTTCAAAAAGTTCATGGAAAAATTGAACTTTTCAAAATGGGTGTTTTCCACAAACTCTTTGAAACCGCTTCACATATGTTCTTATTTAAAATATAAATTAAGCTTCTTAATGTTATATGCTTATGAACTCTTTAATATACTCAGTATCAGCCCATACTTAGAAAAGCAGTTCTAGGTAAGTTTCATGGTTTAAACCAGTTAGCAGCCAAGCGCTTTATCACTGTGCCTTCACCACTGGGCTCCTTCTCATAGTTTACTGTTGTCACTTAAATATAAGGAACTGAAAGATACAGCAGAAGTATCACGTTGTTAAGTGCTGTCAAGTAGTCAGTTCTGACTCATAACGACCCTGTATAGGGTTTCTGAGGAGCAGCTGGTGAGTTTGAACCACCGACCTTATGGTTCAAACCAACCTTGAGATCAAGTGCTTATCCTATGGTGCCACAACAGGACTCCAAGAGTATCATATTGTTGTTGTTAAGTGCTGTCCAGTTGGTTCTGACTCATAATGACTCTGTATAGGGTTTCCGAGGAGCAACTGGTGAGCTTGATCCGCCTACCTTGAGCTTCAAACCGACTTTGCAGTCCAGCACCACATGAACCCACAGCACCACACCAAAAGTCCAAGAGTATTATAGGAGAACAGAAGTATTAAAGACCACTGCACCCTATGATGTATCCCTAACCAGAAAAAAAGCTCACATGAAAATTGTGCACAATATATGTGCACAGGGGAAAATGTCCATGTGGGAAAATGTCCACACAGAAAAATATCCACATAGAAAAATTCTCATACCCAATTTTCGTTAGGGTTTGTGTTTGGGTTAAGGCTCTGGTTAGGCCTTGGGTTTGGGTTCAGGTTTGAATTTGAGTTTATTACTTCATAATATTGTGCATATGAGAATTTTTCTGGTGTGAGCAATTTTCCATGTGAGCATTTTTCTTATGCACATTTATGACAGTGGGCTTTTCTGTGCACAATTTTTGTGTGTGCGCTTTGTTTCATAGAACTGATGTACCTGGCTCTGGGCCTTGGTTTTATAAACATTATTATATTTATAAATAGCATTATGCCAGAAAATCCTCCCAATACTATGAAAAGGGTGGAAGTCTACCCATTTTATGGGTGAGAACCTGGGTAAAGATGAACACACTCAGGGTTTCTTGGTTAAGTACAATGATGCTACTCTCCTAGCTTGATATTGGTCTCTTCTTGAAATTTACTGTGACTGTTTTTTCCCTTTGCTATTTTTATAGCTGGACAACATGCATGTTCTTCTAGAGACAATATAGAAGAGTGATGGTTTAGCATAGGAGCCACTTGTGGGCTTGAACCACCAATCATTCAGTTAGCATTCCAGCTCTTATCTTGTTATTAACTGCCATTGTGACCCTGTAAAGGGTTTCCAAGGCTTTAAAGTCTTATCTTTCTTTCCATGGAGTGGCAGGTGGGCTCAAACTGACGATCTTGTGGTTTGCAGTCCAGTGCTTATCCTACAGTGCCACATATAGTAGAAAAGAAACAGTCCAATCAAGTTGGTTTTCACATCACATATGCAGAGACTTTCAGTTTTACTAATTTTTATAATTTTTAAATAGCTACTCAGGTGTATGTTTATATTATGCCAGTAACCTTAGACTCAATACATTGACTGGCAAATAGATTTGCAGTGAAGAGTAAACCGATGATAAAAATGTGATCTGCCACAATTTAGCTAGTAAACAGATTAATTTTACTTTTCTTTTATAATATGTATTACTGCCATATTGAGGTAATATTTTCCGGTAAAAGTCAAGTTCCCACTTTGGCTTTGTTATTGGGGAGAGAAGGGCGCAACAACCAGCATTTATTGAGGTGCCCTCTGTGTTGCACCTACAATAGCGTGTGCACTATATGGATGTCTTGTTTCATTTTACGACACTCCTCTAAGGAAAGCCTTTCTAATTTCTTATAGACTTGAAATATGAAGTTTAGAGAAATTCATATGTCCATGTAATAAAGCCAGGATGCAGAAAGAAATATAAGACACTCTCGATCAAGTGGTTTGGAAACATACCTTGTTTTTATGTTTATGTTTTCTAAACTTAGCTTATCGTAGTACATGATATAATGTATAGCAAAAAGTCAAATGCACATATTAAAGAAGAAACATCTGTATATAAAGCACAGGCTTGGTTTTCACATGACCACAGCCCCAGGAACACATAAGCCCTAATGAACATATGTGTGAAAACCATGCCTTTTAACTTAGAAACCTTGACTTTGACAGACATGACCTTAATAGTAGCTTTATAAGAACTGTGTTTAGTTCTGAGCATTGTATTAACTTGTGGTTGTTGTTAAGTGCCATCGAGTCAGTTCTGATTCATGCAATGCTGTACAGGGTTTCCGAGGAGAAGTTAGTGGGTTTGATCTGCCAACCTTGTGGTTTGCAGTCCAGTGTTGATCCTATAGCGCCAAAAAAATTCTTGGACTTTACATATGTAAACTTTAAACATGATAGTGACTATCATGCTGCCTCAAAGTTTAATGAGGTGCTGTGTCTGAGAACATCCATTTGTAAAAGTATGTATGTAATACGTGAAAACACAGCACATATCTGTATTTGGTTAGTGAATATTAAGTTTGGCAAGGGCAGTCTGTGCTAGGTGAACACACCTAGTGGAGTGAAACCTGCCTGAGAAAATTGCCATCAGTTCCCCCCAACAATGATCCACTTTGGATCTTCAAAAATGGGAAATCTTCCAGAAATACTTCAGTATACGTTTACAGTTCTGAGGATAATTCTCAGCATCACCTGCAATTTCAGGCAGTGACGTTGTTTTGAAACAGTCAATTCTGGGAAGAAAAGTTCTCTGATGTTAACAGCCAGGTGCTGTTGAGTTTGATTCCCACTCACGATCCATGTGTGTCAGCATGGATCATGGCGGCAGAGGTTCATGCTAGGTGTGGCCTCCCCCTTTCTCATCCAGATGCTACCAATGATTTTTGTTCTTGTTTTGTTCTGCTCTAGATGCTTCTAGGCACGATGTAAGTGTGTCTGATGTGTATCCAGTCCCTGATATTTTAGAATACGGAAACAGGACTTTCAAAATAATTCATGCAAATATGACTTGGTATGCAGCCATGAAAGCCTGCCTGGTGCATGGAGCAGAACTGGTCAGCATTAGAGACCAATATCATCAGTCTTTCCTCACAGTTATCCTCAGTCGTCTCGGACATGCCCACTGGATTGGACTGTTCACTGCAGATGTAGGTGGCCTAAATCCTTTGGAGTATCCTTGCAAAATTAAGTTTCATATTTAATCCCTAAATGATATGACACTAAATTTAGTAAAGAAATTGTTCCCAGAAATAAGAGTAAATGATTGAAACCATCGGTTTACATAATAACTACCGACCAACTTTATTAACAGCCTGTGACTACAAAATAAGGCTGTATACCTTTTTTTTTTTTTTTTTAGAGTAAACACCCACTTGACTAACTTCTGAATGCAAATATCCTTCAAAGGTTCTCTGAGGATTTCTGACTTTCCCAGAATACAGCCACATGTGTGCACTGGAACACACCTTAAATGGAAGCACCTGCATTTGGGTAATTTGTTATAGTTAAGGCATCACCCAAGGTCCAATGAATCATGCTTCCTACCAAGAAATTTGGTTATTAATTAACTCAGTACTCCTTGAAATTAGCATATGATTTGGGGGATTTTTCCCCTCTAGGGATTAAAATTTCTTTTTTAGTGAAACAATCTATTCTATCCTGTTTCTTAGTTTTATTCCACAAAGTTACTCACTGTCAGTAGTTCCTTGTGCATCATCTAGGAATTTTCTACATGTAAGGGATAACTACGTATGTCATTTTAAAACACAAGAGGCATCATGCCATATATATGTACTGTCTTGGAATTTGCTTTTCCATTTAAAATACCTTTTACAGCTTTCCATGTCCAGCATGTAAAAATTGAATTCATTCCTTGTAACAGGAGCGTGTAAAGACGTGACACGTTTTTTAAAAATCATTCCCATGTAAATGGTCATTTGGTTCTGTCCAGTTTTCATAATTATAAATAATGTATAGCAAATATCCCGTGTGTTCTTGTTGTTAAGTGCCGTGGAGTCAGTTCCGACTCATAGGGACCCTGTACAGGATTTCAGAGGCTGTAAATCTTTATGGGAGCAGAATGCCTCATCTTTCTCCCGCGGAACAGCTGGTAGTTTCGAACTGGTGACCTTGAGGTTCACAGCCCGATTCGTAACCACTACGCTACCAGAGTAGGATAAATTCTCAGAAGTGAAATTGATGAGCGTGCTTTTACATTTAAACATGCTGTGCAAAACTGTTCAATCAGAGTTGGCACCAGTTTATATGCCAATAACTATGTGGTAGTATCTGGTTTCACCACATCTTTGCCAACCCTGAGTATTATCAAAATGTTAATTGCTGCCAGTGTGTTAGGCAAAAGAATGATATTTCTGGTTGTTTTAATATGTATTCTTTAATTATAAAAGTGATTTAGTACCTTTACATGCTATTGGAATTTTTTTTTTTTTTTGTATCAACTACCTACTAGATTTCTTTCTATGTGTGTGTTTCATACTGTTCTGTGAGAGTACTTTAAGTAAACTGGTAAAAGAGATATTTTCCCATTTTGATTTTTACTTTAATTATTTTATTTTTGTATTACAGAATGTTCTAACTTTATATAGCAAATTTTGCCTTATGGCTTTTGTATCAGACTTAACCAGATGTTTCCAAACACCGAGAGGGCATAAAAAATGTAATCAAGATTTTCTTTAACACTTTCATGTTTTCAATTTTATACTTAAATCTTTGATCAATCTGAATTTTTCTTTCTTTTTCTTTTTTTTTTTTTTTTTGGTATAAAGAATAAAGTATTGATTGAACTTCATTCATACTGCTTACTGGAAAAATATGGCAACAGAAGATCAAGAATTCCACAAAAATTTTAAAAAGATAATTATTTGTGATAGATCCTTCTTTTTGTCAGGCCATATTCACAGTTGCCCTTAAAAGAGGTGTGGAAATTCAAATCCATGTACATGGTGTGGACTGCTCAGCAGGAAATCACAGCTCACTTTCCTTCCACAGAATGGTCTTAATTTTGACTGGACTGATGGTACCAAATCCACTTTCACTTACTGGAAAGATGAGGAGTCATCCTTCCTTGGCGACTGTGTTTTTGCTGACCCCAGTGGACACTGGAGCAGTTCAGCCTGCGACTCATTTCTGCAAGGAGCCATTTGTCATGTGCCCTCTGGTAGGTTCAGTTCTGTTCAACTCAAGAAATACTTAGTGTGTACTTACTGTGTGCCAGGCACTGTGCTCACAAGGAGAAGATGAGTAATGAGAAATGTTTGCCTGCAAAGAAGCCTCTGATTCTGTCAGTGATGTCATCACAGGTTACACCAGGTATTGATGTTGAGAGTCATAGAGTCGGTTCCAACTCACAGCGACCCAGTAGAGGGTTTCCGAGGCTATAAATCTTTACCGGAGCAGAAAGCCTCATCTTTCTCTTGCAGGACTCCTGGTAGATAAGCATGAGCATGGGATTAGCAGCCTGACTCATGACCACTCCGCTACCAGAGCTCCTTATAGATGATCTGCTGTACTGTCCATTTGATTCTGACTCATTACAACCCTAGATGACAGAGTTAAACTACCCCATAGCGTTTCCTAGATTGAAATCTTTTCTCCCAAGGAGCGACTGGTGAGTTCGAACTGCTGACCTTTCAGTTAGTAGCCAAGTGCTTAGCCATGCATAGAGACCAGAGTATAGGGAGGTTAAGTAACACACCCACCACAAGACAGGAAGAAGTGGCAGAGCCGCTTTAACTTCAGAGAGCACACTTAAGTCAGACACACCTCAATGTGGATGTGTTTGACTTAAGTGTGCTCTCTGAAGTAAATCCGTTCCTTAAAAAATGTCCCTTATTTATGTTATATATGTAATGGTAAGGAATCCTGGTGTAGCACTGTGGAATAAAGCACTGGATCACAAGGTTGGTTTGAGCCTCAAAGTCGGCGGTTCAAACACACCAGTGTCTCCTTGGAAACCCTATATAGGGTCGCTCTGAGTAGGAATGATGCGATGGTACTTAACAATAACAACAACAATGTAGTGGTAAAGGATCCCTGGCGGTGCTGTGTGTGGTTACGTGTTGGGCTGCTAACTGCAAGATTAATGGTTCAGACTCACCAGTTGTTCCACATCTGGAGAAAGATAAGACCGTCTGCTCCCATAAAGATTTAGTCTCAGAAACCTTACATAGAGTCACTCTTGAGTAGGAATCGACTTGAGGACAGTGGGTTTGGGATGCAGAGTTATGTTCTGTCATCTTTAGTGAATGCACTCTTTCTCTCACATAGGCTTATTATTATGTCAGGATTTTTTAATTTGTGATATTCAGTACTACATTTGGTAAAATTGGAAGTTCCTTTTGTCAGCATCGTTCAGCTGCCAGTATTTCTATGAATCCCATCACCATGCTTTTTCCAACTTCTAGGGTAATAATTATAAACCCAAATGAATCCAAGACGCTATGTACTAACGTCCCTGTTATGTATAGGTAAAGATTATTTCTGTCACAAATGCTGTGAACTCATCTTGGCTTTGTAATCATTTACAGTAAATACAATCTTTCTGAGTTATACCATAAAAATCTCACTACATATATTATTTTGGTCTTTCAGACTACAATGCAATGTTTATCTCAATAAATGAACACAGCCACCACCCTGAAATCATAACTGATTTTTGTTCATAGAGACAAGACCATTTGAATACCCAGAGTTGTGCTCAGAAACATCTATCCCCTGGATAAAATTTAAAAGTAATTGCTACAGTTTTTCTACAGTTCTAGACACTATGAGCTTTGAGGCCGCTCATGAATTTTGCAAGAAGGAAGGTAATTCTTTTGTGATGGTAAAATTCTTTCTCTGTGCTTTTTCTTGACATTTCAGCGAAGAATGTGGTTTTCTTCATTTGTCTGATTATATAGTGACTTTAGGAGCAACAGAAACAATTGAAAAAATACTGTTGAATTTGCTTTTTTAGGGACAACTAATATATGAAACTCATAGTCCAGTATAGAGTTGGAAAGCATGACATGATGTCTCAGAACACTGCATGTCCCCAAGAATATGTCCCTCTCAGATGCATTTGAATTATGAATTTTTAGTGTTCCCTAAATTTTATACTTCTAACTTAAGTACAGCATGTATCTTTCAGTAAATGTGGCTTTAGTTAACATTTAAATTTTTTAATGTTCTTATATACAATGGGAGTTTTCCATTTTCAAAGCATAGACTTTATTGATTATGGTAGAAAGAGGAATTTTAAAAATTGTGTTTATATGTAAACATAATAATTTGTGCATTTGCTATTTGTTTGTTTTATAGGAGCTAATCTTTTAACAATCAAGGATGAGGATGAAAATACATTTCTCCTAGAAGAACTTTTTGGTTTTGGCTCTTCTGTCCAAATGGTTTGGTTGAACGCTCAATTTAATAGTAACAGTAAGTGATTTGGGTAGAGGAGAAGAGAGGGCTTAAATATATGCCCACGTTTCAGGCTGCTGATAGTGGTATCTGTGCATCAGAAAATTCTCCTTAGGTACAATATTTGCTGTGGAAAAACAAAATGATTGCTAGAGCCCTTTCTTCTAATAACGTTGTTGTTGTTCAGTACCCTGTATAGGATTTCCACAAAGCAGCTGGTGGATTTGAACCTATGACCTTTGGTTAGCATTCTAGTGCTTATCCTATAGCATCACACCAGGACATTGCTAGCCCTTTAAATCAGGGGTTGTTGTTGTTAGTTGCCATCAAACCGGTATTAACTCATAGCAACTCTATGTACAACAGAATGAAACACTGCCTGGTCCTGGGCCAACCTCACAATTGTTACCATGCTTGAGCCCATTGATGCTGCCACTTTACCAATCCATCTCACTGGGGGTCTTTCTCTTTTTCTCTGACCTCCACCTTACCCAATATGATATCCTTCTCCAGCGACTGGTCTCTCCTGACAAGATGGCCAAAGTATGAGAGATGAAGTTTGGCCATCCTGGCCTCCAAGGAGCACTCTGGCTGCATTTCTTCCAACACAGATCTATTGGTTCTTTTGGCAGCCCATGGCACTTTCAGTATTCTCCTGTATCAGGGATTGTTGTTGTTATGTGCTGTGGAGTCGGTTCTGACCCATAGTGACCCTGTACAGGGTTTCCAAGGCTGTAAATCTTTACGGGAGCAGAAAGCCTCATCATTCTCCTGCAGAACAACTGGTAGTTTCGAACTGCTGACCTTGAAGTTCACAGCCTGAATTTCTGCCAAGGGTAATTTATTTATAACATCATTTGCGGGCCATTCAAAGTCATAAACTTAAAAATCAGCCTCCTATATTTGGTCAAACGTTTAATTGTTGTTGTTGTCAAGCGCCATCAAATCAATTCTGACTCATAGCAACCCTATATAGAGCTTCTGAGGAGCAGCTGTGGTGAGTTTGAACTGCCAATCTTGTGATTCAAACTGACCTTGTGGTCCAGTGCATCATCCTGCAGCGCCACAGACTAATATGAAGGCTGGAACTTCAGTTACCTTTGTAGGGCCAAACCAAATGATTTCTTGAGCTTTATATGGCCCGAGGGCCGGGCGTTCCCCCACCCCTGCTTTTAATAATCTCCAAATCCCCCCTCCCCCCCAAAAATAGACAAAATAACAACATTGATAAGCACTGGATCTATTGGTTGGTGGTTCTGACCCACCAACCATTCCTTGAAAATCCTAAAGGGGTTCGCTATGAGTCAGCGCCTACTTGAGGACACTTAACAACAATATACTTGCTTTCATGTTGTGAAAGCTGCTTGGCTTGCACTTTGTGTTCGCAGCCCTCTCATCATAGCATAAGAAAACCATATTAACTTGAAAATACTCCAGGTTTCTAAATGGTATAAAAATACAATACAATTAAAGAAAGGTTTCAGGAATAAATTGTATTGTTAGACTTATTATTTGCTAGTCATATAAACCAGAATTTATAATCACATGAAAACATGACATTCTTCATTTAATTGATAGTTATTGAAAAGTACTTGTAAAGAAAATTATTTTGATTGGTATGGAGACCTTGTTACAGTGATGTGTCAAGATGAGGAGTGTTTGATCACTGTTGTTGTTAAGTGTCATTGACTCAGTTCTGATTCATAGTGTGACCCTGTATAGGATTTGTTGTTGTGGTGTTGTGTTGTTGTTGTTGCTGAGTACCATGGAGTCGTTTCCAACTCATAGTGACCCTGCACAGTGTTTCTGAGGCTGTAAATCTTTACAGGAGCAAAAACCCTCATCTTTCTCCAGAAAAGTGACTGGTGGGCTCAAACTGCAGACCTTGTGGTTTGCAGTCCTGTGCTTATCCTACAGAGCCACCACCCTCCCTTTGACCACTGGTATTTGCTCAAGGACATGGTTTGCAATTGTCAGCACACAATATTAATAAGAAAGCAGCCTACTGTTGTTAGTTTCCATTGCGTCTGTTTCAATTCATAAGTGGTGTGGACTGCTCAAATGGCATTGGATGATAATGTCAGCAGGAAATGATGGCTCAGTTTCCCTCCACAGAATGGTGGTGACGCCATGGGTTACAGAGTTTTCCTGGCTAGAATCATAAAGAAAGCAGGTTACCAGGCCTTTTCTTCTATGCTAACTCTGGGTGGGTTCAAACTGCCAAACTTCTAGGTTACCAGCTGAGCATAAACCACTGGCATCGTCTGGGGACCTGAAAAAGCACACTAACTTTCAGTACATTTCACTGCTGATATAAACGCAGCTCCTTATTGCCTTCACATGGGATGGGCCTCGCCCACCCTACTCCCATGGCACATCACTGGCTTGCCATTTAAAGATATTCCCATGAAATTCTTTTAGAAAATGAACCCTTTTGCAATGATACAAATGTTAGAACTTCTGAGGACTTTTATTAGTTTATTAAATTTTGTCTTTAAGTTTATTTTAATGATATTTTAAAATTCAAATCATTACAGTAAGAAGCAGACCATCCTAAAACACAGGGTTGTTCACAAGGCCACAGGGGACAGGGAAGCTAGATTAATGGAAATGGAACAACCAGAATGAAAATAACAGGAATGTTAACACAAATTGAAAAATATAACCAATGTCACTGAACAATACATATTGAAATTGTTAACTGGGAATGTAATTTGCTACGTAAACTTACTTTGACTAGAAACACAACAAAAATGTATAGTTTTTAAATCTAAGAATAGAAAAATAGACCCATTCAAAAAAAAAAGAGTCCTGGTGTGGCACTGTAGGATCAGCACATTAAAACCCAAGGTCAGCAATTAAAACCCACCAGCCACTCCTCAGAACCCTATATGGGGTCACTATGAATCAACCAATTCAACTGTAATACTGGTGTGGCACTGTAGGATCAGCATTGGACTGCAAACCACAAGGTCGGCAGTTCAAACCCACCAGCAGCTCCTTAGAAACCCTGTTCAGGGTCACTATGAGTTGGAACCAACTCAACGGCACTTAAAAACAATAACTCCTTGATAAATAAGAGAGTGTCATTAAATTTGGTGTTCCTTTTGGTAGTTCATTCCAATCTTAGTAGAATCCATACTGAGTTAGCCATTTTTCCACAGAAGAAACCATACAGTGGTTTGATGGAACTCCCACAGACCAATCCAACTGGGGTGTTCGGGAGCCAGAGACAGACCTTTTGAAGCCCCATCTGTGTGTTGCCCTGAGGATCCCGGAAGGACAGTGGCAGTTAGCTCCGTGTCAAGAAAAAAAAGGATTTATATGTAAAATGGAGACAGGTAAGTCTAGTCAGTGGGCAATTCTTCATCCTGATTCTACCCAGGTTAAAACCGCCCTAACTTCTATAGCATTTAAGATTTTTAAGTCCAAGTATTCAGGGAGAATTCAGGCAAGTTCTGACATTATCATTTTGTTCTTTACCACACAAATCAGAGATCACTACAGTTCCTCCTTTGTCTGACATGAAAAAAATTATTACAAAGCAACTTGACAATTAGATGGCTTTCTTGTGTTTACCTTATGAGCAGTGTATCCCAAACAAATAGAGCCAGAAATATAAGTCACCAAATTTGATTCTGAGGACTAGTACTCAGAATTTTAAAGGTGAATCTTTGGCTCCAGGAAATATAAAGGGCTTCAGAATGTCTGTGGAAAAATTTAATTGAATGATAATGAGATTTTTCCACAAACTTTTTGAAGCCTAATCATGTATTCTAGGCCTGGATATCTTTGTTTAGGAGAAGTAGGTGGAATTCTGTGTTGCAAGCCATATGTCATAAAAGTCAGATTTAACTTCATCTGGAGGTTGAATAGTTTATGGTGATGAATAAATTCTTTTAGAAATCTAAGTCAGAAAATTCAAATTAGTGACAAGCAATAGCAGAAATATCGTAGCTCAGATGTTAAAATGAATACTATTGACAGTGAATGATACTTGTGATAATCACAATTGTTTCTGGATGCTAAAATTATAAAAGAAAAGGGGGCATTGGCATGCCCTGCAATGTTGGAAAGGCTACAGAGAGAAATGAGATTTCAGAATCTCAAAGAACGAGAAGACTTTGAGGAGCTGAAACAGGAAGAATGGCGTTTTGGACAAAAGGCCCGGCATGACTAAAGATTCTAGAACAGAGGGTTCATGGTAAGGAGATGAAAATAAAATTGGACAGCAATGTAGCTGCTGAGCACAGAGAGCCTTCAATGCCAGGCTAGCATGCTGAGCATCATGGTGTCGGAGTCAGAGAATCCCTCTATGCACTGGCTTTAGATACTCATCCAGATGTACAGTGAAGAGCTTGCCATTTGAGTCATAGAAGCAGGAATAAAAAAGGATGGGATCAATGGGAGTAACCTTCTGAAGATGGAATCAACAAGTCTTGATGACTGATTAGATACAGTCTAATGAAGAAGAAAACAGTAGTAGATGTCAGCATCCATATTTGAAAGACCAATACAGTAACATCAATTCTATGGAAAACATAACTAAGTAAAACATTTAAGCATTCAGAACAAATAAATACCTCATATTAGTAAAGTACTTCAAAGCTTCCTATAATAAACATGTAACCTCAAGTATCCTTCATGGCAATTTACCAAGGTTGTACAGCAGAAAAACCAGTGACATTATAGATGAGAAAATTATTTGTCCATGTCAAGGACTGACTTTAAATTTTCTGCTTTTAAGTAGTCTTTCTACATCTGCCCTCTACCCTATGTTGTTAGGGACTGTGAAGTAGTTTACAGCAACCCCACACACAACACAACGAAACCTGCCCAGTCTTGTGTCACACATATGATTGTTGTTACACTTGAGCCCATTGCGGCTGCCACTGTGCTAATCCATCTAGATGGGGGTCTTCCTCTTTTTCACTGACCCTCCACTTTACCAAGCATAATGTACTTCTCCAGGGGCTGTTCCCTCCTGATAATTCAAAAGACACAATCATGCCATCCTGGTTTCTAAGGAGCATTCTGGATATACTTCTTCCAACACAGATTTGTTTGTTCGTCTGGAAGCTCATGATACTTCTAATATTCTTTTCCAATACCATAGCTCAAATGCATCAATTCTTCTGTGGTCTTATTCATCATCTACCTTTCACATGTATATGAGGCTGTTGAAAACACCATGGCTTGGATCAGACACAGCTTAGTACTCAAACTGACATCTTTGCTCTTCAACACTTTAAAGAGGTCTTATGCAGCAGATTTGCCTGATGCAATACATTGTTTCATTTCTTGACTGTTGTTTCCTTGAGTGTTGGTTGTGGATTCCAGCAAAATGAAGTCTTTGACAACTTTAACCTTTTATCAGTTTATTGTGATGTTATTTATTGCTCTAGTTGTAAATGTTTTTATTTTCTTTGCATTGTACTGCAATCCATACTGAAAGCTGTACTCTTTGAAATTCATCAGCAAGTATTTTAAATCCTTTGCTTCCAGCAACCGAAGTTGTATCATCTGCACATCACAGGCTATTAATGAGTATTCCTCTAATCCTGATGCTTCATTCTTCTTCATATAATCCAGCTTCTTGGATTATTTGCTCAACATACAAAACAAATAAGTAGGGTGAAAGGATACAACCCTGGTGCACACCTTTCCTGATTTTAAACATTCATTATTTCTTTGTTTGCTCAAATGACTGCCTCTTGGTCTAGGCACAGGTTTCTCATGAGCACATTTCAGTGTTCTAGAATACTCATTCTTTGCAATGATAAGAATGTTGTTTATTGGTCCAGAGGTGAGGATTTTTGTTTCCTTTACATTGAGTGAGATGCAATCCATACTGAAGGCTGTGGTCTTTGATCTTCATCAGTAAGTATTTCAAGTCCTCTTCACTTTCAGCAAGCAAGGTTGTATCTCTACATGTCAGGTTGTTAATGAGTCTTCCTCCTATCCTGATTCTTCATATAACCCAGCTTCTTGGATTATTTGCTCAGCATACTGGTTGGTTAAATATGGTGAAAGCATACAAGCCTGTCACACACTTCTTGATTTTAAACCATTCCCATGTTCTGTTCGAATAACTGCCTCTTGGTACATGTATAAATTCCTCATGAGCAAAATTAAGTGTTCCAGGACACTCATACTTTGAAATGTTTTCCATAGCATGTCATGACCCACACAATCAAAAGCCTTTGCATAGTCAATAAAGCACAGGTAAACATCCCTCTGGTATTCTCAGCTTTCAGCCAAGATCCATCAGACATCAGCAATGATATCCCTCATTCCATGTCCGCTTCTGAATCTAGTTTGAACCTCTGGAAGCTCTCTGTCAATGTATGCTTGCAGCCATTTCTGTATTATCTTTAGTAAAACTTCACTCGCATAGGCTATCAAAGCTATTGTCCGATCTCCACATTCTGTTGGGTCACCTCTCTTTGAAATGGGCACAAATATGAATCTCTTCCAATCAATTGGCCAGATAGTTGTCTTCCAAATTTCTTGGCATAGATGAATGAGTGCCTCTTGTGCCGCCTCACTTTCTTGAAAGATTTCAGTTTTTACTCCACCAATTCCTGGTGCCTTGTTCTTTGCCAATTCCTTCAATGCATCATATGCTACCTCTTGAAACGGTTGAACATCAACCATTTCCTTTTGGTACAGTGACTCTGTATATTCCTTCCATCATCTTTTGATACTTCCTGTATCATTCGATAATTTGCCCAGAGAATCCTTCAATAACGGAAGTCGAGACTTGATTTTTTTTTTTTTCTTTAGTTCCCCCAGCTTGAGAAATGCTGATCGTGTTTCTTCCCTTTTGGTTTTCTGATTCCAGATCTTTGCACATTTTGTTGTACTATTTGACTTTGTCTTCTCGAGCTGACCTTTGAATTTTGTCTGTTCAGCTCTTGGACCTCCTCATTTCTTCCATTTGCTTTAACATCTCTACACTGGAGAACAAGTTTCAGTATCTCTTCTGACATCCATTTTGATCTTTTCCTTCTTTCTTGTCTTAATGACTTTTTGCTTTCTTCCTGTATGATGTTCTTTTTACATTTTTATTTTATTTATTTTTAAAGTTTTTATTTTGAATTGAGTGATAATTTATATGGGAGAACATCAGCTTTACAATTCATCCTACTGTGTTTCGTTTCATTGCAATGATTACAATCCCCTCTATGCATCATCATTCAGCAGCATTTGCTTCCATTCCCTCTGTTTTTTTGTTTTTTGTGTGTGTGTGTGTGTGTGTTTTTATGTACACTGAAGCACTCAAGAATATATAACCATTCAAACGACTAAAGGGAATACCCTGCAAGCTTGCCTCTTGGCCGCCAGCATACAACCCCTCTCCCTATTTGAGTCTACAGTCCCCAGCCACTCCATCTCTCCATGTCATCATCTCTGCCTCCATCTCTGGCATCACTGCTTCTCTGGATAGAGTCCCTCACTCTGCTGTTCTCGCTTGATGGTCCCAGGGTCCTCTGCTCCTGGACTGCAAGTTCAACCACTCCCCTCCTGTTGTTACAAAATATCTGCCTGCTCATTTCCAACACTCACAGTCAGTTCTGATAGCAGTTATTCACTATTGAACCACAAGAGTCTTGTCACCATCTCCGTTCACCAGCCCCATCTAGATAGGTGGTTGGAAACCACTCAGTAGAGATTCTACCTTCCTCTGTACCCTCTGACTGTATGATATTCTTGATAGCACCCCACAACTCTCTGGTTTTTGGTCTTTAGTGTTTAATGTATCAAATCTTTTCTTCAGATGATCTCTAAATTCAGATGGGATATATTCAGGGTCATATTTTGGCTCTCGTGAACTTGTTTTCATTTTCTTCAGCTTCAGTCTGAATTTGCACATAAGCAATTAATGGTCTGTTCCACAGTCTGCCCCTGGCCTTGTTTTGGCTGATAATATGGAACTTTTCCACTGTCTCTTTCTACAGATGTAGTCAGTTTCATTTCTGTGTATTCCACCTGGTATGGTTCATGTGTATAATGGTCTCTTATGCTGTCCAAAGAAGGTATTTGAAATGAACAAATCATTGGTTTTGCAGAATTCTATCATACGATCTCCAGCATCATTTCTGTCACCAAGGCCATATTTTCCAACTACTGATCCCTCCTCTTTGTTTCCAACCTTTGTATTCCAATCACCAGTAATGATCAATATATCTTGATTGCATGTTGGATCCATTTCAAATTGAAGAAGTTAGTAGTGGCTACTACAAGAATAAGCAAGTTGTTCACCAGGAAACCATCAACACAAACTATCAAGTCCCTTCAAGACAATCACCCCCCTCTAAGACTGAAACTCAAAGGGAACACATGAGCAGGCATGCAAGCTTGCTGGCATTGATCTACTGATGAGTGAAAGAGGGGGAAAGGCAGCAATGAAAAAATGGGCTGAGTTCAAGCACGTTCCATAGACTCACATTGACCTGGAGATGAAAGAGAGAAGAGGAAGGACTGGTTGGTCCAAAGTGTGGTGAGACCTGGGGACACCTGAGCTCAAGGACAAGGACATAGCCACAGAGGGCTAGAGCTGAGAGTGAAGTGAGGGGAGATGCACAAGAACACCCAAACTTGTAGACAGTATCCGTTTGACCTAGACTCGATGGCTTGATAATCAGAACTCGACTAGTGGAAGATAAAAAAGAAAACAAGTTTTGATTAAGGAGACAAGGGTAAATTGCTACAATTTGATGAACTTGAACTATATTCATGGAGGTAGTAGCTCAAAATACCAACAGAGAGGGGAGGAGTCTTCACATCAAGTATCAGTGCTATCCGCTCTGTATACAGGGTAGATAGGGACGGGCAACTTAGACATTGGCTACCTAAAATGACGGGCTGATAAAGGCACGAAGTAACTAGCTTACAAGGTTTCAAAAGGGAGTTTAGTGTAAGAGTGTGTGGAGGAAGATCGAGTCCCCACTGAATTGTTTTCATCTTGTCTAGATGGGTCTGGTAAAAAGAGATGGGGATGAGATTCTTATGATTCAATAGTGAGCAATTGTTATCATGACTATTTGCAACTGTCACAATTGTAAAGGTAGAAGTTTTGTAACAAAAACTGGGGAGTAGTAAATCTTACAGTGTAGAAACAGAGGACCCTAGGACCATTAATGGACAAGAGAACAAATGGAATGTGGGAACTTATCCAGGGGAAACAGCAGCGACACCAGAGATGGAGGCAGAGATGGGAACATGGAGAAGGAACAGCTGAGGACTGTAGATTCATGAAAAAAGAGAGGGACTGAGAGCTGGTGGCCAGGAGGCAAACTTGCAGAATGTGCCCTTTGGTGGTGTAAATTATTATATATGCCTGAGTGTATTTTTGTTTGTTTGTTTGTTTTTAAAAAAACTAAAATGGAGAGAAATACTGTTTACTGATGATTCCTGGAGAGGATTGTAATGAAACATATGATTTGTTGAATGTAAAACTGATGATCGGCCCTGTATACTTTCACTCAATTCACAATAAAAACTTGGAAAGAAAAAAAAAAAAAAGTTGATAGAATTCTTCTATTTCATCCTCACTGACGTTAGTGGTTGGTGCACAAATTTGAATAATAGTGGTATTAACTGGTCTTCCCTGTAGGCACATAGATATTATCCTATCACAGACACCATTGTACCTCATGACTGATCTTGATATGTTCTTTATGACAATGAATACAACACCATTCCTCTTCAATTTGTCATTCCCAGCATAGTAAACCATATGGTTGTCAGATTAAAATGGCCAATACCAGTCCATTTCAGCTCACTAATGCCTAAGATACCAATGTTTATGCATTCCATTTCATTTTTGACAATTTCCAATTTTCCTAGATTCATACTTTGTACATTCCATGTTCCAATTATTAATGGATGTTTACAGCTGTTTCTCCTCATTTTGAGTTGTACCCCATCAGCAAATAAAGGTCCCGAGTGCTTTACTCCCACAGGCTTTACTCCATTCACGTCATCACTCTACTTTGAGGAGGCAGCTCTTCTACCACTCGTCTGTCAGTTAGTCATACTGTGGTGGCTTGTGAGGTGCTGTGATTCTGGAAGCTATGCCACAGGTATTTTAAATACCCTCCACAGTGGACATACGTGCTTCTGTGCCCCACAGTGGACAGATGTGCTTCCAGACGAAGATAGACTAGGAAGGAGAGCTGAACTACTTCCAAATATTTAGTCTCTGAAAACCTTATGAATAGCAGAGGTCTTCTTTGTAGGCATATGGATATTATCCTATCAAGATAGATCGTGAAATACTATTTTTGATGTTGAATGCAACACCATTCCTCTCCAATTTGTTGTTTCCAGCATACTAAACCATATGATCGTCAGATTCAAAATGCCAATACCTGTCCATTTCAGTTCACTAATGCCTAGGATATCTATCTTTATGTGTTCTATTTCGTTTTTGACAACTTCCAAGTTTCCTAGATTCATACTTCGTACATTCCATGTTCCAATTATTCATGGATGTTTATAGCTGTTTCTCTTCATTTAGTGTTGTGCTCCATCAGCAAATGAAGGTCCTGAAAACCTTACTACATTCATGTCTTCATGGCTAATTCTACTTTGAGGAGACAGTTCTTCCTCATCTGCATTTTGAGTGCCTTCCAACCTGACTTGCTCATCTTCCAGCACTCTTATCTGACAGTGTTCCGCTGCTCTTCATAAGGTTTTCCATGGCTAAACATTCACAAGTAGTCAGTTTCTCCTTCTTTCTAGTCTGTCTTATTCTGAAAGCTCCATTGAAACCTGTCCATCATAGGTGACCCTGCCGGTATTTAAATTACCAATGGCAGGCCTTTCAGCATCACAGCAAGGTTCAATTCACCATAGTACCACAAACTGATAAGTGGTGGCCACTGGCTATAACCTGAGAAGAAATGCTCTTTACCAGTCCTTTTTAAAGTGGTCTCTTCTCTCTCTCACACACACACACACAAATGTGATTTCAGTCATTTTGATGCAAAATTATCCAACATTATTTTAAATTGTAAAAACAAGCTGTAAAACAGAGTCATGCTATTTCTGGTTCTTTTAAGCTTATGAAAGAGAGAACGGGTATATATAGTTCACAAAGCACTTCCTCTACTCACAGATCAATTCACTGATCACGGGATCATTCTCTACATCATTTTCTGGATCTCCACCTTGAGCAGAAGAATAAAATAAAATAACCTGTTAGCGTAGAGTCAGTTCCAATCCATGGTTAGGTTATCCCATATGTATCAGAGTAGAACTGAGTTCTATATATAGCATTTTCAATGTCTGTAATGTTACAGAATTCCTGGTGTGACATTGTAGGATAAGCAATGGACCGTGAACCACAAGGTTGGCAGTTCACACCCACTACCTGCTCCTCAGAAAGCCTATACAGGATCGCTGTGAGTGGGGACCGACTCGGCAGCACTTAACAACAACCTCAATCTTACAGAAGTAGTTCACCACCAACCTTTGAATGAGTTGCCAAGCTAAAATCTCTTTACACCACCCTGAGACCTTAACCAAAATCAATCTAGTGCCTTTGAATTCATTTCAACCCAGGGACCTTGGTTGTTGTGAAGTGCCATCGAGTTGGTTCCAATTCATAGCAACCCAGTGTAAGGTCTCTGAGACTATAAATCTGTTTGGAAGCAGAAGGCCTCATCTTTCTCCTGAAGAGTGGTTGGTTGACTGAAACCACCTACCTTGTTCGTAGTCCTGTGCATATCTTACTGGGCCACCACAAACCCCACCTAGGGACTTTAGCAAAGTTAACATTTTGAAATGATTCTACTTTAAAAAGAAACATTTTTACAGTAGAAAGTTCTAAAGCAGGAACCCTTTTTTTTCATATGGGAGAATTACTATTTCCCAAGATTCTTGATATCCCAAAGTTGAGGCAATGATAACATACAAATACTTGCATAGAGGTAGGGAGTCATCATTGTTAGGCAAACTCCAACAAAGCTGTGAGTTCTTGGAAGCAGGGACTATATTTAACTCATTTATATTCTCAGCACAGTAATAAAATTGGATGTGAGCACTTTGGCTTTAAGAAAAAAATTAGTGGAGAAGATGTGTTTGTGAGTATCAGTGATAGCCACTATAAATCAGGGGCCAATAAACTTTTCTTATAAAGGGCCCAATAGGAAATATTTTAGGTTTGGGGGTCCAGAAAGTCTGTCACAACTACTCAACCGTGCCCTTATGACACAAAAGCAGTCAGAGACAGTATATAAAGGACTGTGTGGTCAAGTTCCAATAAAATATTTATACAAACAGGCAGCCAGATTTGACCTGTGGGACATAGTTTGCTGACCCCCTAATATCAATAATGAAATAATTTTACAGTGTTAAGACAAAAACTTCATCTCAGTACCTGTGTGTGTGTGTTTTATTTTAGGTATTCATGTTCTAACAGAGCATCCAGAAGAAGGTAGGTTTGGGACAGAAGGGTACATTGTGATTTTTCATTTTGATAGTAAAATAAAAAGTAATTGTGTAGCAGGCATTGATGTGTTCCTCTCTCATCATCTTTCAGGACCAAGTCACAGCATTGTACCTCTGGTTGTAACTCTGACACTGTTTGTAGTGTTGGTAATTTCCATCCTCTCCTACCTGTACAAGCACAATCGTGGTTTCTTCAGGAGACTCACAGGATTCAGGAATTCTTACTACCCATCAAACAACTTTAGTACGGTGCATTTAGAAGAGAATATTCTCATTTCTGATCTTGACAAGAATGATGAATAATAATGAAGTCCGACAATGCTGGAGCCAAGAAAAGGATCCAGTAAACAAGTCTGTGAGGCAAATCTTCTCCACATTTCTCTATATAGACCAAATGTCATTGTCGTGTAGACTATGTTGCTATTTTCAATGATTCTGAAATGACTACTGGTTTTGAATTGTGGTCACATTAGGTGGATGTTAACGAAATTCATTTCCCAAAACTGCAGTCTGTTTTTAAAAAGGAAACCGCACAATGGTTATTTTTCAGAAAGACAAGAACTATAAAGAAACTCCCTCTTACAGAGCTCTCAAACCACTGTGAATAACAGTTTGGGTGTTCATATGTTTCTGCTTAAATTTGTTTGGGAATTTTTGAACTAATCTTATACTTCTTCAAACATTTACTTATGCCCATACCATTGAAATGGAAAGAGAGGGAAAAGCAGAATACATCTTATAGTCTGACACTTGTGTATGAGAGGAAAAGGAACAGCCATCTGAGAGGTTTCTTGTTTATATTTAGTTTAATCATCATTAATAGCAAGGTTTGACGAATACAAATTTCTAAGTTTAAAACTCCTAAGTTCTGAGTAGGAAGTTAATATTTAGGATGACATTTATTTTTAGTAGGTCTATTCCCTTTCCTTCAATAGTAAAGATATTGACAAGCAAATCACTTTCTTAAGCAGCTTTTTTGAGCTAATTAAAGTGTGGCCTAAAACCTTTATATTGCTTTCTCTCACTAATTTGTTTTTAAATGAGACTTATATGTCTTTAAAACCTGCAATAATTTATATAAATTACAATATAAAATCTATGGGAGCTGAGGACAAAACTTTCTTTTTAATAGAATAAAAAATGCCTTTTGTATGTATAAGAACATTGGAAAATATTATTCATAATGTTAAATTCTATTTCCTCAACAAATACAAATCTTTGCTGGTGTTTCAATTACTAAGTGATAACTAGGTTTGTTATTTTACGATGTTATAGATACGCTGTTCTTAAGTGCCGTTGAGTGGGTTTTGACACATAGCAACCCTGTCTAGGGTTTCCAAGGAGCAGCTGGTGGGTTTGAACTACTGACCTTGTAGTATGAAATTCAGTGCTTATCCTACAGCACCATGCCAAGAGTCCATAGATAAGCTACAACGAAGTTATTGAGATTTTAATACTGTTAAAATTCATGGGCTTGATTCTGAACTAAAGGATATAAAATAGTTTGTAATACTTCTTAAAACTGAAAGATATAAAATGTAACTTTACATATTTTATGTTTGTGAATTTATTTATGTGAATTTAAAGGGTCTGAATTATAGTCTTCTTTGAGCCAGAAGAGGAGCAGAGAGGAATCTTGATAGCCTTCGGTATCTAAATGAGTTTCTATGCAGTGTCCTATAGAGTAAACGTGGTCGCTGGATGTCACAAATGATTTACTCTCAACAACTAACTGAAAGATTGGCAGTTCAAACCCTTCAAGAGGTGATGTGGAAGAAAGGCCTGGTTATCTTCCTTTGTAAAGATTATAACCAAGAAAACCTTGTGGAGCTCACTTCTACTCTGTAACACATGGGGTCACCATGAGTTGAAATTGACTTGATGACGATGGGATTCTCTGTAGTAAATTAGGGTTTCTGGGAAGCATCGTTTTTTGTATGGAGCCAGTTAGTGCTGCTAGTAGAGCATGATTAGAAACCTGACCTGATCCCATGTAAGGGAAGGAGTGCTGGTGATATAGGGTAAGCACTGGACTACTAACCACAAGGTTGGCAGCTCAAACCCCCAGGAAGATGAGGTTTTCTGCTCCTGTAAAGATTTACAGCGTTGGAAACCCTATGTTGTTATTGTTGTTAAGTGCCCTCGAGTCAGTTCCGACTCATAGCCACCCGGTATAGGGTTTTCCGAGGAGCAGCTGGTGAGTTTGAACAGCCAACCTTGTGATTCAAACTGACCTTACTGTCGAGTGGGTATCCTACAATGCCACATCAGGGCTCCTGGAAACCCTATATAGGGTCACTATGAGTTGGAACTGACTCGACAGCACCTCACAACATCCTGTGTAAGGAGCCTCTGAGTAATGCAAATGGTTAATGTGCTCAACTACTAACCAAAAGGTGTTAGAGGTCCCAGTCCACCAGATGTACCGTGAAAGAAATGCTTAGTCATCTACTTCTGAAAACTCAGTCATTGAAAACCCTATAGCACACACTTCTGCTCTCACACACGTGAGGTCACCATGAGCTGGGATCACCTCAAGGTCACCAGATTGGGGTTTTTTAAATCCTGTGTAAATTACAAATTGCACATTTTATCTTTCTTCATTAATTTATTATAAAGGAAAATGGATTCACAATCAAGTTTCAAAACTTTATTCATTACATAAATGTTTAAGTGCCCAAAAGGTCAGTAGTTCACACTCACCAGCCGCTCCTTGGAAACCTTTTACAGGATCACTATGAATTGGAACCAGCTTGACAGCACAACCAACTTCACAACATTAAGAACTAAAATTGAAAAAAAATAAGTAACCCACTGCCAATCGAGTCTATTCCAACCCATAGCAAGCCTGTATAGGATTTCTGAAACTGGAAATCTTTTCAGGAATCTTATCTTTCTTCCTCAGGGTGGCTGGTAGGTTTGAACCACTGACCTAATCCACCGCACCATCAGGGTTCCTTTATTAAGAACTAAGGGCAATTGATTCAGCGCTGTAGGTTAATGGGTTGGACTGCAAGGTCAGTTTGAACCACAAAGTCAGTGGTTCAAGCTCCCCAGCCACTCCTCAGAAACCCTATACAGGGTTGCTATGACTCAGAAATGACTCGACAGCACTTAACAACAAGGGCAATTAAGTATAGGAACTGGGGGTACTGGAGTGAGCAAGACAGTGACATCTCTGTTTTCATGAAACGTATATCCTAGTGAGGAGTCCTGGTGTGGCTCTGTGCACTGCAAAGTCGGTGGTTCAAACCCACCAGCTGTTCCTCAGAAACCCTATACAGGATCACTGTGAGTCAGAAGCGACTGGACAGCACTTACCAACGACATCATATCTTAGTGAGGAAAAACCAATAGTAAACCAATAAGGCAACGCATCCGAAGAAAAGAGGAGATCCCGTGATAGAGCTAAACTGAAGGGTCTAGGAGACTCCCTGAGAATGTACATTTTAATTGTTATGGCAAACTGCCTCAAAACTGGAGGTCGCCAGTCACAATGGGGAGCTCTGGGGAAAAGTTTGAATGAAGTTGTAAGTGGAAAACCATCATCATTAGAAATACAATTTGAAGAGCAAACCCATAGAATAGAATATTTGTGGCCTGAAATGGTTAAGACAGCTTCTAAAAATAGCTCATTGATAGTGCTGTGTACTTTACACACTGGGACAATCTACTTCCATACATTTTCATGTCTTCAGACTTCATTTTTTAAATGAAATTATAATAGGTGTCACCCAAAGGAATGGGTGATGATAATAGTAATGGGCTTAAACTAACCAGGTAGTATAAAAGCCCAATTTAACAACATGCCAGGTGAAATAAAAATTCTGTTCTTTGTCGTTAACTACTAAAACTACTAACCAATTAGCCTTTTGTTTTTGTTCAGTGCTGTGGAGTCAGTTCTGACTCATAATGACCTTGGATAGGATTGCAAAGGAGTGGCTGATGGGTTTGAACTGCCGACCTTGTAGTTAGCACTCCAGTGCTTATCCTACTGTGCACACCAGGATCTCTATTAACTTAATAAGGTATATTGAAGTGGAATCATCACACACAACAATCTGACAAAGTATGTCACTAGGAAAGTGGTTTTGCAGAAAGATATTGTATGGCATAGCAATACTTCACACTTGGATATTTCCTGCTAAAACACATCTCCAAGGACTATATCCTCATGGATAAGACATCTGCTACTTCCTGTTATGAAAATTTGAGAAGTAAAACTTACTGACACCCCTCAGCGATTTTTGTGGGTTCAGTTCCAAAGCACTCCAATAAAGTGAGTATCACAATCAAGTGAGTCACAGGAATTTTTTCGCTTCCCAATACTTTTCGGTTATGTTTACAGTGTACTGTAGTTTATTAAGTGTGCAATAACATTATGAACATTTTGAAATATTGTGAGAATTGCCAAACTGTAACACAGATATGAAGTGAGCACATGCTGCTGGAAAACATGACGCCAAGAGACTGCTCGATGCAGGATTTCCACAAACCTTCAGTTTGTAAAAAGGGAAGTGTCTGAGAAGTGCAATAAAGTGAAGCCCAAGAAAATGAGGTGTGCCTATACTGAAATATTCTGCTCTATTTATATGTGCACTTTTCAAAACTTTATCTCACATCTATTTTTCATCTGAGCTAGATGCCATAGCTCTACATGAAAGGAAAAAACTCACTAACATACCACTAATGTGCTTCTCCATCCACCCTCTAAAAAAATGTCAGTTATTTTCTATGGCTAATTTTATGGTCTTTGTGAAAGCTGGTAGTGGAAAATCTTGGCTATTCCAGTTAAAGATACCTTGGTTCCTCTAATTCCAATAGTCTCCTTTCAGTAAATGTTTCTTCTGTTGAAAGTTCTGTTCTTTGTCAAGGGTAGATCAGATGGTCTGTTTTGGAGGGTTTTTTTCCCCCTCTTTAATATGTTAGTTGGATAAGTGCCTGCTTGCTGTGTCCTTGATGATACTGACTCCAAACAGCCTCAGATTGTAATTTTTGATGTCCACAAAATGTGCTTGCCTTACCCAAGCCTGGGAATTCTACTGGCATCTGCTGCTAAAGTATTTAGCTGATATAACTTGTGGTCTCTTTGACTTGGTCTCATGCTGGCTTTCCTTGGCACTGCCTTACCCATGAGGACTGGCATGATATCATTTTAGTCCCCTTGTTGTTGTTGTTCAGTGCCGTCGAGTCGATTCTGACCCTTAGCGACCCTGTATAGGGTTTCCAAGGAGCAGCTGGTGAGCTGGAACCACTGACTTTGCAGTTCAAATGACTTTACAGTCTGACATAGCACCACATTC